GAACGCTTTGCTGAAACATAGCGGGCAGATTGGCAACAAACGCAGCTTGACTTACAATCCCAAACGTGTATATACAGAGTTCATACAGGGACAACAGAGTGCTCAACCTTTTTGCTTTGTTCAAAAGTTTGGAATCAATGTTTACAATTATATAAAACCAATTTAGTTGCAGGAACATGTATAAAGTAGTTCTAATATGAGCCTATATATCAGGGGGTGCCCAAACTTTTTCTCTTACTGGGCCAAAGTGAAAAACAATATACAAATAAAGAAAGCAGGTAGGTTTTAAATTTTTTTTTAATGTATATTTTGCATACATTACAGTATATTTTGTTACTAAACTACTTTAGGAATATAATTTAATATTGCAATATTTTTTTATATATAGTACAAAAATATGTTCTCTTATTGGGTGTGGGTGGGGTGGGGTTAGCTTAACTGATTAGAATGAAGTTCTAATAAAATTAATACCCAGAATCAAGTTCTAATAAAATTTATATCCAGAATTAAATCATAATGAAGTTATTATCCCGTGTGAATTTCTAATAAAATCCATAATTAAATTATCTCCCAGAATGAAGTTCTAATGAAAGTAATATTTAGAATCACGTCACATTAAAATGAACACCAAGAATTAAATTAGAATTAAATAAATATCCAGAATGAAGTTTTAATAAAATCAATATTTGGAATGAAATTATAATAAAGTTAGCATCCAGAAATAAATTATAATAAAAGTAATACCTAGAATGAAGTTCTAATGAAATTAATATCCAGAATTAAAATATAAAAAGGTTATTATCTGGTATAAATTCCTAATAAAATTTCACCAGAATAAAATTATAATTAAATAAATATCCAGAAAGAAGGTCTGATAAAATTAATTTTTAGAATTAAATTACATTAAAATGAACACCAAGAATGTAATTATAATTAAATAAATATCCAGAATGAAGGTCTAATAAAATGATTTTTTAGAATGACATTACATTAAAATTAACACCAAGCATTCAAATAACATCAAGAATGAAATTATAATTAAATAAATATGCAGAATGAAGTTTTAATGAAATTAATATTTAGAATGGAATGATAATAAAGTTAGCATCCAGAAATAAATTATAATCAAGTTATTATCCCGTATGAATTTTTAATAAAATTAACATCCAAAATTAAATTTTGATTAAGTTTTGATAAAATTTGATACAGTTAAATTCTAATTAAATAAATATCCAGAATTAAGTTTTAATAAAAATTAATATTTTGAATGATGTTATAATAAAGTTAGCATCCAGAAATAAATTATAACAAAATCAATATCTAAATGAAGTCCTAATGAAATGAATATCAGGACTATTTCAATCTCTTGTAAAAAGACTATTATTATTACCAGCAAAGTGTTCCTCAAAACAAAATAAAATATTGCATAAAACATCAAAAACACACATTTTAGTGTCTGTAATAATAAAATCAACAGGACAGCATAGTGTATATACTCTTTGTTCATCAGTATCACAGTATTGTAATATTTGCAATATTGACATCACAGAAGGCTGAAGCAGGCAAATGAGCCTTTAACCAATCACCGTTCCAGATGAGTTTCTGGATGAGTCAAGGTTTCCATATAGTCTGACAAAAATATTACTGAATAGTCTGACTGAATTATTTTGGTCAAGAAGTAATGCAGGTCAGCCTTTAACCAGGTCAGTATTGATGTATTGATATATTGCAAGACATCACAATCTATAGCAATATAATTGCAATACTGTTACGACCATATTGAGCCCCATATATTACAACAATAATAGATGATTCCAAACTTTTGAACAGTTTTGTATGTTTGTTTGAACAGTATGTGTGTGTTGCAGGTGCCTCTGAGTGAGACAGAGTGTGTGGAGGTGGAGCACCGTGTGGCGGAAGCTGTTCTCCACCGGGGGCAGCAGATGCACGGTGCTTTGCGCATCTCCTCAGGCCTGCGCTGGAACCTCATCATATGGATGCGAGCATCTCGTCAGAGGAACCGCATCTGCCCAATGTGCGGCCGGACGCCTCGACTGCAGCCCAGCCAGGGCTACGGGGACGGCTTCACCGCCGAGGCCAGCGACTCTGGCTGGACGTGCGCCCTAACGTGACTTTAATGAACTGTTGTGGATATCAGTAAAGCCCATGTTGTCCAACTGAAGGTACATTTTCTTAGCCTGTATTGCATGATTGGTTTTTGTGCCTTTGATGTAAAAATCAAAGGCTTAACTTTTATAGTGTATGTATTATATAAATCAGAAGCTATTTATTTCAGACACCCTGTCAACGGACAACAAATGCATTGTAATAACACATATGCATTATACGCTGTGTATAATTGTACATTGTAATAAACATCGTAAATACAGTGAAGAAAAAAATCCTTTCGGAAATACAGATGAAAATATATACAACACAGCTATACAACAAAAATGCAATGCACAACCCATTAAAAACAAAAAATTCAGACCTACAATACCAGCCAGAGGTTTGGGCACACCACAAGGGTTTTCTTCATATTTAGTATGTAACACGTATACAATAGTAGTGAAAACACCAACGCTATGAAATAACACATATGAAATTACTCAGTGGCATAACCAGGAGCCAACAGCGACCCGGCACCCTAAAAACTTTATTGGACCCATCCATATAGATATTGACACAATTGTACACCCATGATTTAGAGAAAGTCCCATTTTTCAACATAATACCTGACCAGTTAGCTAACATCAACACCACACAGCTAGCACTGACCCTTTTTCCATACTTTTTCCAAAAGTATGTGGACACCCCTCCTAATCACGGAGCTCAGGTGTTTCTGCCACACCCTTTGCTAACAGGTGCATAAAATCAAGCACACAGCCTTGCAGTCTCCATAGACAAACATTGGTGGTAGAATGGGTCACACTAACGAGCTCTGTGACTTTAAACATGGCACTGTCCTAGGATAATTTGAAAAGTGAAATTTCTGCCTTGCTATTGTGAAACGGAAGCATCTAGGAGCAACAACAGCTGGGCCATGAAGCGGTAGATCACACAAACTCACAAAGTGGAGCCACCGAGTGAATTCTAAACTGCCTCTGGAAGCAACATCAACTCAAGAGATGTTCATTGGGAGCTTCATGAAATGGGTTTCCATGGCCGAGCAGCTGCATACAAGCCTAAGATCATTATGCGCAATGCCAAGCGTCGGCTGGAGGGGTGTAGAGCACACCGTCACTGGACGGTCGCAGTGGAAACGTGTTCTCTGGAGTGATGAATCACGCTTAACTATTTGTCAGGTTGATGGATGAATCTGGGTTTGGCAGATGCCTGGAGAACGCTACCTTTCGGAATGCATAGTTCCAACAGTAAAGTTTGGTGGAAGAGGGATAATGTGCTGGGGTTGTTTTTCAGGCCCCTTAGTTCCAGTGAAGGGTAATGTTAATGCTACAGCATACATAGACATCTTAGACAATTATATGCTTCCAAGTTTGTGGCAACAGTTTTGGGAAGACCCTTTCCTGCCAGACTTTGCCCCCTGTGCACAAAGGAAGTTCCATAAAGACGTTCTGACGAGTTTGGTGTGGAGGAACTCCAGTGGCCTGCACAGAGTCCTGACCTCAACCTCACTGAGCACCTTTTGGATCAATTGGAAGGTCGACTGCAAGCCAGGCCTTCTTGTCTAACATCAGTGCCTGACCTCACAAATGCTCTTTTGACTGAATGGGGACAAACTCCCACAGACACACTCCAAAATCTTGTGGAAAGGTTCCCAGAATAGTGGAGGCTGTTATAGGCCGCAAACAGGGGCAACTCCATATCAATGGCCATGGTTTGGAATGGGATGTCCAACAAGCTCATACAGGTGTGATGGTCAGGTGTCCACATACTTTTGGTCATTAATTGTAGTAGCATTTTACCATAAACCTTTACATCAAATTATTGGTAATTTTACTGAAGGGCAGTGTTATATAATAAGCTAATATCATAAGGCTACACAACAAATACTTAAACCGACATAAACCTACATAGACCTTTTTAAAGGCTTGTTCCAACAAGCGTCAGAAGTCAACATTCGCTGAGGGTAAAAAAAAGTAGCCTGATGCTTGTTGAAATAAGTCTTTGTTAACACTAATGTAGGTTTATATCAATTGTCGTGAAAGGCTTGTGTAGGTATTGTGTTGCCTTATGAACACTGACCTACAGTAAAATGCAACCAACAAGTTTCTAAGATTATGAAAAACATACATTCAATCAGGTGTGTCCAAAGTATTAGTGCTAAGTAGAAGCTCTTGCGTCCTCCTTTCCCTCAACCAGCCAGCTTTCCTTTGCATCACTTTACATCACAACTACACATGACACACAGTTAGCAGTCAAATAAATAAAAGAAGTCTTCATCAGCCAAAGTGAACGTTGCAGGCATTTGTGTGCAATTTCAAGTACTGTATGGTACTAAAGTAACATTTCAGGTTCTTGTTCTTTTAGTTTTTTGGTTGTTTCTTTTCTCCTTGTTTATTCAAACTGTGGAACATTTCGAAGGAGGAAAAGAGGAGAAATGATGGGGTGTGGGTAGGCGGAGCCACAGAGGGAGGCGCATCCTTGGCCCCAGAATCCATGAAATGGTTTCCCACAGTTCTTTGTAGTGTGACGTCAATTTTATCTAGATCTCTAGAAGACCAAAGATGAAAACACAACATAGACTCTACATACACAGCAATACAAATATATTTACCTAAAATATACACTGATTTAAAGTAAGAAAATAATTCTTCAACCTCATTTCACTTTGGTTCTTAGCTTGTATCATTCTTCGCAAAACTGATCTGTGTTTTAAGGTTGCTTGAGTTGGAGATAGTTCCGTATTTCACAGTGCAACTGAGGCATTTGAAGAAAAGACAAGAAGTTCTTGCCGAGTTCAATCAGAGCAGTTTACAGGCAAGCTAGAAAACTTCTGCAAACGCAGTGTCCATAGACCACTGAGTCCACTCAGGCTCTCAGAGGGTTGTCTCGCTGCTCATGTCGCGGTGTCTGTCCCGGGGGTCCATGTCCGTGTCCTCGTAGTCGGATTCCATCTCGATCTTGACCTGCGGTACCGGGCAGGACATTCCACGAGTGACAGTCATCGCTGGGGACGACGGGCACGAGATCTTCAGGTGCAAGGTGATGCTGCGGAGCAGCGAGGTCCCGTTACAAGAGTGAGGAGGGCAGAGTGGAAGAGGAGGTGGAATGGCAAATGGTCAGGGGTCACCGGTGTAACTCTTTACCCATCCATTACAAAAGTATGAAAGTTTGATATCCGAACCTACAGTTTAGGGGCAAGTCTTTGGAAGAGGGACAAGAGAGCCCAATCTGGCCTTTTACTCCAAATGTAGTCGATCAGGAAAGACATGTTGGGTGTCTGAAGTTTGCTTCCTTAGTTTTGCTGGATGTACACTAATGTAGCAAACAAGTCATGGAAGCTTGTACCCTGCCAGTAAACATCAAATTGCACTACACGTAAGATTCTCTGGACCTGCCGTTAAATGTTAATTCATGTGCAAATTTCTCAAGAATTTTTTTACCTTACACTTACATTTACATCTATGACTGTCAGACCTCAGCATCATCTGAACAATGCAGAAGAGTGCAGCAAGTGATCATGGGTCAATGCTAAGCTAAAGGCTAACCACAAAAGACTGGCCATTACTTCCAAATCTCTCTAATGTTCACTTCGTCGATACCAAATGGGACCAAAGTTACCGCTGCAACTGACTTCACAACAGGAGATAAAGAATTACTGAAAGATGCCTGACTCAACCATTCAGGTAAACAGGATAACATTAGTTTGCACACTGTGTCATCTGCACTTGTGTAAGTTTACCAGTATAAAGGTTCTGACAAAATTTACATCTTAGAAAGAACTTCAGCTGGTATACCAGATGAGCCAGGATACTGCCCACTACTGTCATTCTGTATCAGTAACCATTTAAGATTACTTAACATTTGTTGGAAATGTGTAATGATTCAGGCACGTAGTTTGTTGCCAATTGGTACTTATAAGGTTTTATTATTGTTAGCTACATTAGCCTCGTAGCTCCAGCACAACCTAAAGAGGTAAACTTCAGACCACGAACATGTCTTGGCTGATCAATTGCCTCCAGGTTAAGGGGGAAAACAGTGTAGATTTAATTTTTCACCAAACTGTTCAGTTAAACCAAAGAAATGAACTTGAAGCTTCATGCACTTGAATGGGAAACACATTAATCCTCACCACAAAGCCAAGCAATTCCCAGACAGCCAGCCAGGATCAACTCTTTCATTGCAGTGAGAGGTGATAGTAGGTAGATCAAAATCTAATCTTGACCTCAGAATTTGAGATTGTGTCAAACTTGAAACCATGTATATCATTACACCTCTATTCAGCTCATAGAAAATCTCTTGCAGATCCAGAGAAGTTAAGAAGGTTTCTGCCCAGAAGGCTTAACATTTCAGTATCAAGATTTCTTCCCCAGTGTCCCAGATAATTTCACTGTGACAGCCTAGCCTATGATCCCCGACAAATCAAGCTAAACTTTACATTACATGGAACTGAGTAAATAGAACTACCTTAGTTCATGCTTACTGGGAGTTACAACAGTTTTAGCCTTGCGACTCGTTCTTGATTGAGCGTAAAGCGTGATTAAAAACTAGAATAACAAGTATGTGATCACAGCCTGACTTGAAAGCCTATTTGCCCTAAAATACTATCATCCAGACCATGCACAAACAGCAATGCAGACATCCCAGCCAGCAGCATTCAATGTACTGCAATATGTGAGTAAAGCTACAAAAGCACATATCTGGATAAGAAAAAGGCTGTTATGTGTGGGTATTATGTCACAACGATCATGGGCAAAGCAGTAAGGCCCATTTTCCAGAAACAGGTTAAAGAAATAGTTTGGCAAAGTAATCAAATTTACACAGTTTCTCCCCTTTTACCCCAAATAAGAATGATCAACCAAGACATGTTTGGTGTCTGAAGTTTGCTTCTTTAGTTTTGCATTGGAGCTACGAGGCTTAGCTTCTATCATTTGTTAGCTACAAACAGCTTCAAGTAATGGAAGCTGTTTTTATTAGATCGGAATCGGTAGACAGCAGTTGGTGGGCTCCTGAGTGGTGCAACCATCTACTTTTACGTTCACAGTAGCGAATGTCGCCTCAATGTTGACTCTTATGGGTGTATTCAAGGCCGTTTTTGTTGCTTGTGGATGTGTACACTGTCCAGCTTCTGACAAGAAAACGTATCTACTACACATGTACTGCCATTTTGTTTAGAATTTGAACTGTTTGCAAGTTTACAAGTTTAGAAGTTTCTTTTCTACTTTTCTACACTGAATACGAACAAAACGCTGAACGAAACAAAAATTCCAGAGACCTCAGACAGTCCATGTCGACTCTAAATTTGAGCCAATCATTTACATTGTTGCCTCACCACGTCATACTTCATTTGAATAAAGCTTGTCACTTGTTGCCCTTGCAGCATGTCACTTGTTGCTAAATCGCTGCTACAAATGACCTACACCCATTCACAGGAAGTGAATGGTTGCCTGTCGATCTGTTACCAGCTAATGTGAACATATGTTAAGCCCTGGTCCTATCTTCGGTAGATCACAAGTTTGATCCCCAGTGATGCCACAGCCATCCGTGGTCGGGAGTACAAGAGAGCGTAAAAGTCCTTGGCCCCCCATAATTGGCAGTTAGCATTCTCCTCCAAGCGTGTTGAACTGTTCAATGAGAAAATGAGGTGGTGCTTCTCGTGTCTTGGAAGAAGCACCTGCTAACCTTCACCCTCCCAGCTTGATAGCATCATGTGACAGGAGGAGACCTACCCAGTGTTTGGAACTTGCCACAACTAAATTGGGGAGGTTGATTTTCAAAGACTTTGGCCATTAGATAATACTGGAAATGTGCTTACGTGTCTCAGCCCACACATTGTATGCTTCGGGTTAAAGAACAAGGCCCAAAAATTGACAATCAGCCTATTTGGCCGTAAAGAAAATAGTACTTTTATCCATTTTATAGGTAACATAATGCTAATTTATGAGGTATAACCTGTTATACTTGTTAGCTATGATAGCCTTGTAGCTCCACTGCAAAATTAAAGAAGCAAACATCAGACAACAAACATGTCTTGGCTGATCGACTACATTTGGGAAACTGCAAATGTGATTTTTTGGCAAATTTTTTCTAAACCAAGTCTGAACAGGGACACTTCGCAAAAGCACAGCCACAGTCAAAAGTAAAGAATGAGCAACATACACATACACAGAGGAGAAAGAAACAACCAAAATTTCTAATTTTGAGTTTGCAACCTCAGATGAGCAACAGCTCTATTTGATATTTGATTTAATGAATATCAGCATTTACATCCTGGAGCATCTGAGTTTAGTTTATAAGAATGATTTTGCTGCATGGTTTATTATAATTATCATTAACATATATGCAATCCTGGTCAGAATATTGTAAACTCTGTGCCAGGCCAGTTAGATCCATGCTAAATGCCTTGTGTGTATTGTGTGTAGATGTATGCAAAAGGAAACAAATGTTCCAGAAAAGAATCTGACAGTTTACGTCCATCTGCATTGCTTCGAAGCGCATGGAAAGGACAATAAGGAGGGACACTTTTTTAGTCCATAGCATGTACAGCACTGTGCAAAACACAAAGAAGGCGCTCTTTATTTATTTAATTTCCAGTCAAAACAGTCATTAAATACAAGTTAATCATATTTCAGGAGATTATGCAAGAGAATCGACTTGTATAAGGAAGAGGAAAGATACAGAGACAGTGGGTCTCCTAACAATGGGACCCCTAACAACCACCTGGAAGACCTGGTAGATCATCAAATCTTATTTGTACCCATCAGATAAACAGTCTATCCTTTCACTGTGAGAAGACAACTCAATACTATGGGTCTAAAGGAAGTGTAGCTGTCAAGCAGCCCTCACTGATAAAAGAAAACATCAAACAGAGAGGTTGCTGGTGTTCTCAGAACAATGGGCTGACCAGTCCAGACCTCAACATCACTCAATGTGTTTGGGATTACTTAAACCCGAGAAGCAGAAAGTGCAACCAACCTCTTAGACTGAACTTTGGAGGTGTGGAAAAACATCCCTGCCGTTTTCTTTGAAACAGTGAAAGCAAGTCTCCTGAAAAAGAGACCCTTAAGACTGAAAAATGTGATATCAAATAATTGAGGCTTAAATATGTCTGACAAATGAGTACCTTGTACACACTTAATGGCTGTTTTGACTGGACTTTTGCTCAGTACTGTACTTACTGAACACTGAAATAAGCAAGTCATATTATTGTATTTTTAATACACACTATATTTCATGCTGTCTAATAGCAAAACTCAGCTGTTTATGTCTATTTAAAGCATTTGTCTATAATGATGATCACTGTGAAGTAAAGAAAATGTACAACAGTGTTCATGAATTTTGAGCAACAGAAAAGCAAAATCTGCAGGGACTGCAGGTGAGTGTGTGTGTTATTGCATGTCTGCATGTAGAGAGAGGTGACAAATTAAAGGAAACGACTGAATAAATGAGTAGAGAATCATAACAGGTGCAGATACGTTTGGATCAAGACGAAAAGAGAAATGGGGTTCAAAGACTGGATTCAGATCTATGGGAAAGACATCAGTAAAGAAGTCTCGACACTGTGGTTCCTCAGGTGTCGGGAACGTGATCAGATTTAGTAAGAAAAGTCCATCCACTACTACATAGATAATTGGGCTGCGGTGCATAAACCGCCTCATTACAAAAACAAATGACCATTTGAGAGGTCAGTGGCGTAGAAACCATTAGCAAGGCCTACAGAGATGTGGAAAACAGTGATAAGGATAGACAAGCCATCCTTCACCATCTTCTCCACAAGTGGAAGAGTGCATGTGCAGCGTACACCAAGAGAACAGCACAGGCCTGACTGCTTGACCCCTACAGTGAGGGGGTTCCAGTTCCTGTTATGATGTTTGCTGCCATGGTTTGAGTCCACTTGTCCTCTTAGAAGGAAGGGTCACTGCAAGTCAATACTGACTGATGTCCTTTATGCTATGATTTCTATTCTGGTCTCTACTGGAATGTTAAGGGTACGACGATTCACTGAATGGTCTGATGAGTATGGAAATGATGGTATCCTTCATAGTCAACCCCTTTGAACACTTACGAGAAATTTAGGACACAGCAGTCTCCACCGCCATCATCACATCACAAATTGAGGATATATCTTTTGGAAAACCAGCGTTCCATCCTTCCAGTACACATCCAGAGAGGTGTAGAATCTACAGCAAGGAGGTCTGAAGCTATTCTATGACTTTACATTGTTTTTTCCTTTAATTTGTCACCCGTCTGTCTGTTTACGTGAGATATAGTGAGGTGTATGTAGTGTGTAAAGTGTATATGGTATACATCAATAGTAATAATTGCCCGGCTGGCAGCGGGCGGTCCACTCTGAGTTGGAGTCGGGGGGCTCTAACAGGTCTCTGTAAGGAAGGTGCAGTTTGAGCACACAGTACCTGCGGTCCAGATCCGTCTCGCCCATTGAGCAGTTGGAGTATGGATGGTACTTCTCCTGTAAGACAGAGGAAACGGGGACGTTTTTGACATGGACATTTCAAGATAACTGTTTTTAGATATTCTTATTCCGAAGGGTTACTTTGTGCTGCAGACAGTTAGCCCCCCATTCACCCCTTTCATCAGTGGTCAGGACCCCCACAGTGAAGGTATTATTTGGGTGATGGATCATTCTCAGCACTGCAGTGACACTGACGTGGTGGTGGTGTTTTAGAGTGTGTTGCGCTGGTACGAGTGGATCAGACACAGCAGTGCTGCTGGAGTTTTTAAACACAGTGTCCACTTACTGTCCACTCTATTAGACACTCCTACCTTGTCAGTCCACCTTGTAGATGTAAAGTCAGAGACAGTAGCTCATCTGCTGCTGCACAGTTTGTGTTGGTCATGCTCTAGTCTTTCATCCATCAGTGGTCAGTTTCAGACCACAGGACGCTGTTGGCTGGATATTTTTGGTTCTCAGTCCAGCAGCGACACTGAGATGTTTAAAAACTCCAGCAGGAGAATGATCACTGTACAGTTTCCATACAACGATCGTTAAATTATGTTTTTTTCTTCTATAGGAATGAATGGAAGAATTGGGCGGGCAAAAGTTAGCGCACCCCACTTCCATTATGGCATTACAAATACACTAGCAATGTCCTAGCGCCCATGCAGGATACCATGGCAACATCCTAGCAACCACCTGTGATACTACAGAAACATCCTACAACCGCTTAACAACACCCATCAGTGACCACTAATGAAAGGGGCTAACAAAATATGCCGACAAACAGATGGACTACAGTCTGTAATTGTAGAACTACTGTCTACTATTGATCTATCTAAGGTAGATACGCTTAATAATGTGCCCAGATTATGTTATTTGATGTTATATTATACTTAATATCTGCACATGCTTAAGTCTCACTTTAATTACTTGTCCTGGGATAAACAAAATAGGAGAAGAAATTTTATAATTTTAATTCTAATTAAAATACTACATTAGCAAACTACATTAATGCTTTAAAATCATAAAAAGGTAAAAATGAAAAGTGCTTCACTCATGTGTGTTTGAAATTATTTTACATTGTAAATATGAGTTCCTGACCTAAAAGTTGCAAATAAAATGAAGGCAAAAAATGTATATATAAAAATGTTATCATGAAGTTGTTATATTAATTCTAATTAATATTTCAAGTGAGTGAATTGTTGAGCTAATAAATGACATCCAAATAAATGTAGTAGATTTATTAATACGTTTAATGATGGTGAGCGCTCAAGAGTTATGTGGCTCTGAGGCCTGTTAAGACCTGTTTCATGTTAAGAGCCACAGTGACCAGTAGGGGGCAGCAGCAGCACACCCCACTGAGCCATTCAAAATCTATTAAGTGCTGATCTTTCCATTCTAAATAGGATACTGGATACTGATGGGATTTTCTGTGTGTAAGTAAGTCTGTTTTGAGACTCGGTGGACGGATATCTTCTCTGGCAGTCGGCCCCTTTGGGAGTCGCTGATAAGCCGGAGTATCTCCAAAGCCCGAGCGGGCCACTTTCTTTTCACTGACCGAAACGATAACGGCGCTAGTCACTCAAAAGCCAGACTTACATCGTCCTCGCTGTCATCTCCCACTCTGCCCTTCTTCTTGTCCTTCTTGCTGCTGCTGTTCTTCTTCTCGTCGTCCTTCTTCTTCTTCTCCTTCTCGGGCAGGAGGTCGTCAAGCCAGGCCAGGTCATGCTGGGAGAAGACCATGTCCAGCATCTTGCGCACCAGCATCAGGCCCAGGATCTGAGAACGCAAGCAGATGGGACTGGTTTTGAGATCGTTAAAAGTCCAAGCACACAAAAATCTCCAGCCATGAGTGGCTCTGTGGTCAGAAACTGACCCTTGATGAAGGGAAGAATATGGCTAATACAAACTGTGCATCAACAGATGGACTACAGCAGTGGTTTCCAAAGCTACCCAGGCCTTGCATATTTTCAAACCAGACCCTGCACATGATGAGCTTGTTAAGTAGTTAATGAGACAAAATCAGCTGAGAATCAGGGGCACCATAAGGAGGGAGGGGCCCCGAAAAGACTTTAAGGCTTACTGGAAGATTCATAAAGGAATAGTTTGGCACAAAATCAAATTCATCTAATTTTCCACTCACCACAGATGTAGTCAGTCAACCAAAATGTTTGGTGTCCAAATTGTGCTTCTTTAGTTTAGAACTGCACTTACAAGGCTATCGTTGCTAACAAACACTAGAACTCAATAGTCACCCAAATAGCCAGAATCGTTGCTGTAAAAATGCAGCACCAAAACTTCTTTCGACCTGCCCAAACCACTTCCAGCTCTTCATTATGGTCATTTATGGTCATATAGACTTGTTGATGTGGCACGGCACGACTTACTAAGAGCTATGAAAATAAATTCTGGGCAGCCACAATACAGAATACCCTTTTCTCTAAACTGTCTGTCCACAGTTTTGTTAATTTCATATTTCATAGTAAATAGTCATACTATGCTTCAAACCACATCGGCAAGTCTTAATCAAGACCTAGATGCTGTTTGAGCAGGCTGTGAGAAGTTTTGGTGATATAGTTTTACAGAAGCGATTTGGGCTATTTGGGTGACCTTTGAGTTCTAGTGTTTGTTAGCCTCATAGCTCCAGTTCTAACCTAAACAAGCAAAATTTGGAAAAGTTTTGGTCCTTCAAAATGCCAGAGCTGGCTCTGGGTGGGACACACACTCTTTCATTCATCCCTGCCTGATCCTTGCTACCACCCTGCAAAGCCAGGGGTTAAGAATAACTTCTGACGTACCATTACAGGGAAGACGATGGCGAGGAAGGTGGATTTGAGGATCCAGAGGACGGCCAGGCAGACGATCTGCAGCAAAGTAAAGAGATGGACCCTTCTGAGAGGCACATGCCGCAGGTACGTGTAGTCCGGCTGGTGCTTTGCTGGCATCAGGAACAGTTTGATCCTGTCCCAGAACTATTGGGAAACAAAAATGAGAAACATATCAACACATCATTTATTGTTATGGGACCTTTACGAAAGTGTAGTATTAGCGATTAGCTGATTATGTTGAAATAATGCCTTAGTTGCAACAGGACAACTGTCCCAAATATACAGGTTTTATTATACCACTAAAACATTAAACACACACATGTACAAATGACTATAGCTGATACATTTTTAATAGTTAATAATTAACATGTTATAGGTTCAAAATACATTATTGTTTTATTGCTACCTGTTACTGACTTACCCCAGGCCTGTAGACAGTTTTTATTTTTACAAAGCAGGATTTCTCAGTTAGCTGGATAACTTAAACCCAAAGTGCAAGACTGTCCAATCATTGGCATGTCTCTCAGCTTCTCCTATTGGACAAGCTTGACTTTGGGCTTTGTTTATAGGTTTTTGACTTGATAGTTTGAAAAGCATTGTTTGGCTAACCTGACTTGTATGTAAACACCACAAATTTGTTGTTTAAATCTTCTACCGTTCTTCCAGTTTCACAGTTTCCATCATTAGACCTACTAAATATAACACACTGCTTGTTCCTTGGAGGACTTGGTGTTAGGAAGAGTTTAGCTGGCTGTTAAAATCAATAGCACTCTTCGAGTCCAGAACAACAGTACACTTATGCTGCTTTCATGTGCTTTTAGAATGATCACACCTGCGAGTTTCCAACCTTTCAATTTGTATTTATAAGCGGAAGCTTTGGAAACAGCCTTGATTTCTGAATTTCCTACTAGTTGTTAACCTCTATCCCTTCATCATTAGGTGGTTGACAAGCTGGACATCTGGATGGACTAGACTGGTTAAGCTGGCAGATCCACTTAGCTGGTTGACCAGACAGCAGACAGGGCATGTTTTTGTTTGACTGGTTTAGTTGGTCTGCCAGCATGACCAACCATGCTAGTTGACAAGTTTGGTCAATCTAGCCATGGTTGTTGACCAGCTTGGTTACTTTAGTCATGGTTGTTGACCAGCTTGGTTTAAGTTAGTCATGGTTGTTGACCAGCTTGGCTATGTTAGTCATGCTGTTCAACCAGCTTGGTCAAGCTAGTCATGCTGATCGTCCAGCTTGGTCAGGTTAGTCATGCTGTTCGAACAGCTTGGTCAATGTAGGCATTGTTGCTGACTTGCTTGGTTAAGCTTGCCATGCTTGTTGACCAGCTTGGTCAAGTTAGTCATGCTGGTCGACCAGCTTGGTCAAGATTGTCATGCTTGTTGACCAGCTTGGTCAAGTTAGTCATGCTGGTCGACCAGCTTGATCAAGCTTATTACGGTTGTTGATCAGCTTGGTCAGTCTAGTCATGGTTGTTAACCAGCTTGATCAAGCGCATTACGGTTGTTGATCAGCTTGGACGGTCTAGTCATGCTGGTTGACCAGCTTGTTCATGCTAGTCATGGTTGTTGACCAGCTTGGTTAAGCTTGTAATGGTTGTCAGTTAGCTTGGTCAAGCTCATCATGCTTGTCGACCAGCTTTTTTTTTTTTTAGAGTTAGCTGGCTGTCCAGCATGGGTTATGTTTTTGTTTAACTTTAATGGTTTAGCTGGTCTGCCAGCATGACCAATTTGACTTAGGTCAACCACAATGTCATGCCAGTCCACCAGCCTGGTTAAGTTCATTACTCTTGTCTTTTAAAGGTAAAACTGGTCATATTTTCATGTGGGAGTCACATATGATTGGCTTTGAGATGGTCACATGATTGGCCTTGTTACAACATCAAAGGGAATTCTACAGATTGTTCATAATGTCTCAGAGTGGTTTGATGTTGAATGGTTCACTTTAAAGTAACTTAAATTGATTTAAATATATGTTTTAGGTCAAAAGCTTCTCAAACCTACCAAAAAAAACAAAGTGTCAGACATCAGACAGTGAATTCATAACCATTTCATGTAAGAACTTTCTGTGAGGGAGCTTTTAGAAAGTTTCACACTTAGTTTACAACCAGGCGAAGCCCTGTTGGTTTAACCGTCCCCAAGATAGTTAATGACCCATATTGTCTCTGCAACATTAAAGGCTTTTGCTCCTTCCACACCTGAATAATGAATCAAAAAACATTTTTCACTTTTTGGCTCTTGTTAGTCCTTTTTCTGTGCCACTGAATGTATGCTGGCCCCCAACTGTCAGGGTTTGATTGCCAGGCGCTGTAAAGCAGCATCTGGCTGCCTCCACACAGCCTGACTCCGCGCTGCCTCATCAGAATGCTGCCGGACGCGGCCAGGGGGAGAAGCATCCTGCATACAAATACCACCTCCCCACCAACCCTCACCTACCTCGTCCCCTCTGTAAACTGACAAACACCCACCAGACAGCCCAAGTTCTCCACCGTTTCACTGCCAGAGCGCGGACAAATCACCCACTCCTTTACGGCTCGAGTGCAAAGTGCAGTGTGCTTCCGAGACAGCACGTAGCCTTTATCAAGCTGCACCGGCGGTGATCTTTTTCCCATTACCATGGCCGATGGAAGCTCAGATGGGTCGCCTAATACTTAACTTCGAGCCTGTCGAGTCTGTCCCTCTACAGCCACATTAGGATTACTAATAGGATCATTGAAGGAATGGATTGGAAATCTTGCAACAGTGTTCCCATTGTCTCAAATAGAGTCAAGGCATGATTGCCACCAAGGTTAGCTTTGGATAAGGAGCTACAAGGCTAATGTATCTACACATTTGTCCATATTTATAGATAACAGTATTTCATACAGTGTCAGAAACCACATTAGCAAGTTTATAGCAGCAGTGGAGACAAGTGTCATGAGGCTAAAGCTTATACACAACCATTCAAATGTAAGAACCAAAAAGTGGTTCTTCTATGGCATGTGAAGAACCTTTTTAACCCCTTAATATCCCAGGCTTAATACATAACTAAGACGTATTATTCAGTAACTAGAGGGACTTCAATGCAAGCTGGTTGAGCTATTCTTAGGTTATAGAAGTGTGTAATTTCAGAGGTTAAATGAACCATTATGGTTCTCTACCAATTTAATTTAAGGGTTTTCCTTTAAATGATGTGGAAGTTCTTTAAACATTATTCACACTCACTTCATCTCATTTACAAAATTGTCTCTCTAAAGAACCATCCACTGAAAGGTTCTTTGGGGAACCAAAAATGGTTCTTCTGTGGCATGGGAAGAACCTTGTATTACAGACTTTCATATAATTAAATGGTTCTCTACCAATCGAAGGTTTCTTCTCTTAAGTTAGGTAGAGGTTTGTTAAACTCTAAAAAGGTTCTTCACACTGACATATATGTGCAGTAATGGTTCTCTAAAGAACTGTCCATGGAAAGGTTCTTTAAGGAACCAAAAATGGTCATTTTATGGCCTGTGAAGAACGTTTTAAAGGTGTAATGTAAAGGTTCTTTACCAGTTCTTCCTAGAATCTTTACACTATGTAGAGGTTCTTTAAACTTTAAAAAGGTCCTTAACGTTCACATCTCATTTACAAAAAATCATTTTTAAAGAACAATCGATTGGAAAGTTCTTTAGGGAACCAAAAATAGTTCTCTTATGGCATATGAAGAACATTTTAAAGGTATAAAAAAACTTAACATAATGTAAAGGTTCTTTACCAATTCAAAGGTTCTTCCTAGAATCTTTACACTATATAAAGGTTCTTTGAACTTTAAAAAGGTCCTTATCATTCACATATATTGAATTGGTACAGAACCTTGACATTATGTTATGGTTCTGTATACCTTTAAAAGGTTCTTTACCAATTCAAATGTTCTTCCTAGAATCTTTACACTATGTAGAGGTTCTTTAAACTTTTGAAAAGGTCCTTATCATTCACATCTCGCTTACAGAAATTCATTTTTTAAAGAACCATTGATTGAAAGGTTCTTTAGCGACGAAAAATGGTTCTTCCATGGCATATGAAGAACTTTTACAGGTATAAAGAACCTTCACATAACGTAAACGTTCGTTACTAAATTTAAGCTTTCTTCCTAGAACCTTTACACCGTGTTAGATGTTCAAAAGTTTCTTCACACTCACACCTCATTTTCAAAAATGATTATCTAAAGAAGGGAACCAAAAGTGGTTCTCCTGTGGCATCACACAAAGAACTCCCTCTGGCACCATTAATTTTATGTGTGAATGATCATAATCCAGTAAATAAGTGTTGTAAACAATGTACTTCCTAAAGACAAAGTGGGACAGTGCCTCATTTCTCTTGCATCTCATGAAGAAGGCACTCTCAAAAATGTCATCAATAACATGGCCGTGCACCATTTCTGACACTTTTATCATTTCAAAAAGCGGGGAGGGTGTCCCCCCTGTCCCCCCCCCCTCTGTCCTCCCTTACTTTGAGCCACTGGTTGCAGTAGCGCTACATACTGGCCTGTTCTTTCAAGCACTGGGCTTTTAAGTTATTACGCTCATCCACTGTGCTTGGCTCCCTAAAAACCTTCTATAAAGCAGAAAGGGCATAAAACTCCTCAGCTGTCCTTGAATGGAGTTACTTCAGCTAGTTCACTGCAGCAAAATCTCTGAGTACATAAATAAAGATAAAATAAAGGAGACTGAAGACTGAAGCCGCTCACCTGGATGCCCCCGAGAGACGCAACACCCATGTAGAGGAACACACCATACAGCACAGGCATGGGGATAAACTGAGGAGAGAAAACAGAGCAGTTAAGCCTCATTCACACCTATACAGATATCTCTCAAAGCGTATTTTTATCCTGGGCTTTGCTCGCACATGCCCATAGCTGTTGTCCTTTATTAATTATGGAGAACTCTGTCTGAAATGTGGCTGAGGACTGGGTTGTTACTGTGTGCTCTGCTATTGGGGGGTGATTTGGGAGTTATTACCATGTTTAAAGTTGAATTTAGTGAAATCTTTTCATCAAAGTCTACTGAATGCGTCTCAAGTTCAACAGCCTGCCACAGAGTAAACGTATATAAAAAAAAGCCCCTTTCAGCCAATGGAAAGCCACGGTGCTGCAGTCTCCATGGTAATGACTGTCAGTACGCTGTGTGCTCGTGCGTGAAGGCAGCCAAGAAACTCTTCAATCGGTAATAAAAGTGGTGTTTCATTTTCTGACCTTCTTCAAACCTCAGTGTGATTAGTATTACTTGATAATTTGTATGTTTACTGCTGAAAATTAGCATGTTAGCTAATGCAACTGGAATATAAGTAGCATAATGACTGATATCCAGCTAGCTAGCCTGCTAATGCCAGCCATTCACTGCAAGCTATGTATTCAAATATAACTGTATAATGTAAAAGTAAGTGGACACTGAATGCTGGACGGTCTAAATCACACAACGAAAGGCAGTTCAGTATTTCTGATGCAACAGTGGCTGCTTTGTAGTCTCTGCCTTGTTGAGATCTTGTTTGGATTCCTGCGTGTTGTCGCTAGTTTAAGGTCATTTCATTGAAAGTGTCATTAACTTTTAGGTGTTTTGTTACTTTCATTTTTAGAAAGTATCTATAAGTTTTAGCGTATGAACAAAATTATATTCATTTTAAACATTTAAACAGACATTAGCATTAATGATTGTAAGGTCTATAATGAAAACAGGCTGCAAACACATCTATACTTGGTTTCAAAAAACAGTCAAAAGTTCTGTTGTTGGCAACATGCAGAATTTGAGTGGTTTTGTTCTGTCAGTTAAGGTTGGAGACCCTTGATGTAAGTAAAGTTAAGCTTCTGAGAAAAAAAAACAGCTAAAAAACAGCTCTTGTCTTATTATTTTTAAAGCAGGAAATGCCATTTTAAGTATATTTCAATGTGAAAATGCACCAGAAACAGGCATTTTAGGACATGTTTTCAAAAAACCTGGTCATTTCCACTCCAGGTTTCCAGCTGACGTGAAGAGCTTAAGAACAGACTTTCTGCTGTATTTCTTTTTTTTTTCAATAATCACATTGTTCTTAAGTGACCCACCGTTACCGTTCTGAACAGGCGAACGAGGTCGAGCCATAACAAGCCCTGACATGTCCTGAGCTCACCTGCAGGACGGGGGCCAGAAAAATGGAGACTCCGGTCAGCACAAACACCAGAATTCCCGTCACCCGCTGCTCCCTGCAGGTCAGACAGACACAGCCGGAGGCAGAGAGGAGAAGAAGGAGCAGAATGGAGATGAAGAGATGAACCACTGGCCAAAATATCAAGAGTGTACTAAGTCATTTAAGTCTAATTCAGTGCATGTATTTAGTAGACAGGCCTGAATGTAAAGATGTGCACTGTACTTGTAATAAGAGAGTAAAATGCTATTGATTACTAAAAAAGCCAATGCTAGAACAATGTCTATCAGTTGTAAAGCTCATCACACTGTACTTTTCCATCATTCTATGTCGATAATTACTGATCATTAGTATACGTGTTTCCTAACGCTTCCTAACGTAAAGTATTTTGAACCCTGAAGAAAATAAAAGGCTTATTCTGGCCAAACATGCAGAATTATTGTGTCTGTTTTGGTTCTGTTTTGGTTGCTGTTGGCAAACGCTGCATACAATCCGCTAGCCCAGATGGCAAGAGGATAGCAGGCCACTGTTGGCCTGGCAAAGCTGGCAGCCCAGTGTTCAAGCAGAGTATTAGACAATATTCCACTTTTCAGCACTCGTTTTTCACCCATGGTGCAATTTGCTTATTTTTTCCTTAATTTCTTTCTTTGCTTATCCTTTGTTAATTAGTTAAGTAAATAATTTAACAGCAATATCATAAGTAAAGCCGGTGATACAGCTGTAACCAATCTAGCACAGTGTCAGCAGCAACAACATTTTGAATGCATTTTTATATTAGGCCTAGTCATTGATTTTCTTTTCTCTGAATTGTTTGTAACATTTGTCTTAGTTTATTTTCCAAAATAAAAGGCTGCATGCATTTAAAATCTGTTTCAGGATATATGTAGGCAGACAAATGTCTATTTTGCTGCTGAAGAAAACCTTGTGTCTCCATTTTTGCCGTTTTTCAGCTTTTGACATAATTTGAAAATATATATATATAATATATATGAACTATACTGGATACTGGATGTTGACGCTCTCACAGCATCAACTATAGACATGTAGGACTGTAAACGTAAAAAGCTGATGCTGGAAAAATTTGACACTGGACAACAGGTTATTGTATTACACTACAGTTACAACTCAACGTGTGGCCTATCAACCTATTGCTTTTTTTGGTAGGTGGTTTAACAGATGTGTCTGAGAGACTGCGGACTGCAGACGGACGCTTCGAACACAGTGTAGCATCTTACTAACGCATATTATTTTGTTACTATGAAACATGAGTGACTTAACAAGCCACGGACGTGGCTGAGAAGTCTGAAGTAGTGCGGCTGGGCTAACATTATTAACCTCATGTAGAAAGAGACAACTGCCCCTCATCTAATGAAACATTTAGCTTTAGCATTAGCTCATCTTCTGATTTAACCCCCAGTGGCTAAAAGATGTCCCTTCAAACGTGCATTAGCGTTTTATTGCTCAAACTTTCTCAGTTGTACAGAACTCTGAACAGCAGTGCTCCTCCCGTACCTCACACCCAGGAACTGCGGCTGCTCTCCCGGGGCGCTGGACTCGCTCTCCATCCTCAGGGAGTCAATGTGGGCGATGGAGATGACCGTTGCTGCCACGTACCATGGTAGTCCCATGAAGGAGCAGGCAGCCATCAGGACCCCCACCCAGAAAAGGTCCAAGTGATAACCGCACCCTTTCTGTTCAAGACAGAAGGAGACAGAAAGAGGACTTCAGATCAGCTCAACAGACATTGTTGCACAGCCTCTTTCCAGAAACAGAGGAAGAACCACTGAGAGGAACCAGGACTCAAAAGGAGAAACTCACTGAAAGTGTGAGGAAGAACCACTGAGAGGAACCAAGATTCAAAAGGAGAAACTGTATACTGATGTATCCTCAAGTTTTCTTTATTCAGAACGCACTGCATGATTTACTTTGTGTTTTCAGGATGAATTAACCTTTAGTTTGTTCTCCTTTCTGTTGACGATGACAGCACTGATCTGCTGGTCCATGAAGATGAGGATGGTGACGAGGAGAGCGGGGACAAAGCTGGCTACATACACCCACCATGGGTTCTTCCCAAACGGCATCACGATCCAGCCCCGATCTGGACGTGTAGGCTAAAGAACACACAGCAAAAGATGTACAACAGATTGTCCAGTTAAAGGATCTGAATATATATATATAAATATATATGATATAATATATAATATATATAAATTTCTGCTAAAAATTGCTTATTACCAAAGGAACAAGAGCTTATTTTTTTTTCACCTTGAACTCAGTGGGCACTATGAGTTTAGGGGTTTTCAGGCCTATCAGCATGTCCAGCCCCACGAATGTCATAATGGACATAAAGATGGAGAAGTCACTGATGAGCTTCCGCAGCTGCACACAAGATGAAAACAACCACAAGTATGAAGGCAAAAATATAACATTGCGATACTTTTATCACAATACAAGACATGCATCAGTTTCTGAGGTTTGAAAATAAGTTGGAACAGACAAAATACAAACAGGAGTCAAATAGCAGTCAATTAACTGGCTGACCCCAACCTCCCCCTCCTACCTCCTGCATCTGAACATTGAGCAAAGTCTGAACTGAAGTCTGAGGTAAACAACAACCTATTATTTTGCACCAGGATACGACTAATATCTGAGCAGTTCAAGACCATGACAGAGGATTCTTCAGATTTATTGGCTCTTTTAGAAAACTTGAAAGTACCATTAAAAAACATCTCTGTTGCTTATCAGCTTGATCTTGAAAATACCAGTGATGGGAGAAAGACCTGCTTATTGACTTCGGAATGGTAGATGGATGATGGCAAACCAGATATTCCTTTTTTTTTAAATGGAGCAGTGGTGGAAAATTCCACCTCCACCAGTGGCAATAGCAGCGTACCACGGTGGAATGTTCTGTCAAGGGTTCAGTTTATCTAACCTTTGTCATCAGTCACAGCAGTGGAATAAAACAGGTGTAACCATTCATGTACAACAAACCTCAAACTTGGGATAAAATAGTGGTCATTTGTATGTAACAGAAGGCAATATTAAAGTTACCCTTGAAAGCATACATAAATTCATCCATTCATCATCATTTAACAATAATTATTGTTGAATTATTAATGCTTATTTAGTGGTAGCTCAACTCTGACTCTGAAACATAAATAAATAAATAAATAAATAAATATAAAACGTAACCCTTTTGTACAGGCCACATTATATTATATATTTAATATATGGAGCATTCAATCAAATTAATTCAAACTGCAGTTGCACAGTAAAAAAAAACAAACTATTTATAAAAACAATTAAGCATTGAAATCTTAGATATTTACAAGGGTTATTTTATAATCTATTTAAACCCAATTTATAGGAAACTCAGGTGTCAGTTCCAAACCTTAACCCCCCAAATTTACACTTGTGTAAATAATATTTACATTTTCTTCAATGTTTTTTTGATTTCTTTAAAGTGAAGTTGGACTTTATTCAACGTTTTTAAAAAAAGTGCTGTCCCATGTTTTCATGTCACTACTGAAACACAAAGACTTTTGGTGCATAGGCGGAGCCTTATTTTAGCCACACCCCTGCATTTAAGAGCAGGAAGTGAGACTGCATCCCTGTCCCTCTTGGCCACATGATGAGCAGTTAGATCCCACTGTTTTGAAGTAAATGTCTCCCAAAGTCTGAAAATCAGTGAGGAACATTAAAAACTGTCCCTACCGAAACACACATTTTCTACAATTAAGTCAACGTTTTTGTTCAATCATTTATTTTAATAACATAACCATAGTAACCGTAGGGTTACTCAAAGCAGAAGGTAGTCCAAGTCCATGGAGCCCTGCTGGTGACATCCCATATAAATAAAAATAATGCAAGGCCATGCCGTATTAACATGTGGGAACGAGATCTTAACGCATGGCCACAACTTAGTAAGGCATGGGAACGAGATAATTGAGTCATGGCCATGACTTAATAAGGTGTGGGAGTGAGATCATGCCTTATTAAGCTGTGGTCAAGGATTAATTATCTCATTTCCATTTCTTTCTAAGCTGTCGCCATGCATTAGGATCTAGTTCCAATGCCTTACTAAATCGTGGCCACAACCTAATTATCTTGTTCCCACACATTACTAAGTCGTGGCCACGCAATATTTTTATTTATACGGGATGTCACCAGCAGGGCTTCGTACAAGTCAGTTAAAAGTCCCAAATTTGTTTTCAGTCCTGACTTTGAACCGATTTGGTAGAGTCATACATATGTTTGCTTTATAAACTGCTATGTAATTGTACTATTTAGGTGCAATTATACAGGCTTATGCCAGGGATTGTACGATGCTATGTATGTCATATTATGCATACAGGATTCAATCTATACTATAATACTATATTCATCTATACTAATTGAGTTGTTAAGTAATGTCTAATAGACATGTGGTTTCTAACACCTACGACACACTGTTATCTATAAAAAATGAAAACATTTCAAGGGTGCCAAAACTTTTGGCGGGCACACCATGTGAAGGAACAGAATACCCATTTTGGTTGCTGGGAGTCTGAGAAGACAGTTCTAGGCATCCTGGTGTCTGTGAGAGAGAGACTGTGTTGCTAGAATCAGAGGATGTGTGAAGGGCGTATTTTCTCTTTCACACATTATCCCCTCTTTTCTCTCTCTTTTCCTCTCACACTAATTCCCGCTCACCCCTCCTTCCCTGTGGATACCTTGGTAGGAAAGTAACGGCTGAACTTGAACTTCTTGAGTGAGACGGTCATGGAGTAGGTGCCGAAGAACAGGATGAAGGACATGAGGGCCAGGTCAGGCACGTATTTACAGGACTTCCCCACCAGCGAGCCACCGTACTTCACGCATTCTTTCTTGCTCAGCTGAGTCCAGTCCAGAGCTGTTATGTTCATCTGGGAGATGGAGAAAGATTGAGAGAGAGAGATAGTGAGAGAGGGAAAGAAAGAATGTGAAGAGGAAAGATGGAAAGGGTTCAAAATCACCAATACACCGAGGAGCCAAAACATTATGACCACCTGTCTAACATTCTGTTGGTCTTCTGTGTGTTGGCAAAGCAGCTCTGACCCACCGAGACATGGACTCTACAAGACCACTCATGATGGGATTTGGCACTAAGACGTTAGCAGCAGATCCTTAAAGTCCTGATAGTTGCAAGATGGATTTGCCGCAGATCTGAATTGTTGTTCCAGCACATCCCACAGATGCTCGATTGGATTAAGATTTGAGGAATTTGGCCGGGAAAACACTTTGAACTCTTTGTCATGTTCCTCAAACAGTTCCTGAACCATGTGTGCAGTTTGGTAGGGCACATTATCCTGCTGCCATCGAGGAATACCACTGTCATGAAGGGGTGTACCTGGTCCGCAGTGATGTTTAGGTAGGTGGCATGTGTCAACTTGACGTCTACATGAATGCCTGGACTCAGGGTTTCCCAGCAGAACATTTCCAAAAACTCCCTCCACCAGCTCCTCGTCTTCCCACAGTACATCCTGGTGCTATCTCTTCCCCAGGTAAATGGCACAGATGTACCACTTGATGCAAAAGAAAACAGGACTCATTTGACCAAGCGACCTTCTTCCATTTCTCCAAGGTCCAGTTCTGACACATGCCCACTGAAGATTGGCATGTGTCACTGATACGAGATAATCCACGTCATTCGCTTCATTTGTGAGTGGTCATAATGTTTTGGCACATCAGTGTGTGTGTATAGATAGACTGTGTGATATGCAGTCAGTCGGGAGACTGTATTATATGTCTTTAAATTTCCTTCAAGGTTAGCTACTTGGGTAAGCACTGCTGCACACACCAGTCACCTCCTTGGAATTACCCACACCAGTTATGTACACTTTAGTCTATAACTTAATGTTGTCAAAAGTATATAATGTTATGGCACAATTATGTTATGTTAAGCGTCACTCTAGTATGCACTTTAGTGTTTTTACTGTTTAAACTTGTTAACTGAACCAAAATTGAGAATCTTTTTGTCATCATTATTCCAGTCCAACCTTGTCAGCTTGTCCAGCAAATGTCTAGAGTGACTATGCTTTATTTTGATTCCTGAATGGGACTCACAGCACTCTAAAAGTTGGCCCTATCATCAAGAGATGACCAAACATCAAGTTTGGTCCCCAGCGAAGCCACAACCATCCATGGCTGGGAGTCTAAGGTCTTGTTCATGCATATCGGGATGTTTTTGACAACATGTTTTTTCTCTGTATTTTGGCCTCGTAAGTTTTTAAGAATGTTTAGAATTTTTTTTAATGCTGTCCAGGATGGAGAATTTTTCAGTGTTCTCATGTGGTCAGGCAAAATACAGCTTTTTTCATGCCATTAACTTGCGCATGTCTGTAGCTCTTTACAATTATTAATAATGCAGAACACTGTCTGAAATATAATCGAAGGCTAGGTTGTTTCTGTGTCCTCATAATGTTTTCACCGTGTTGATAACTGAATTTAGCTTTACGTTTTAATTAAACCACAGATTCTGGCAGGAATCAGTCTTTGAAACTGTGTGAAATATTGAAGAGGTCTGACGGCCAGCAGGTTAAAGTCTTTAGCATTTGTAACACAGTGTAGTGGTGTTGTTAGAACATCCCTGCCTTAGCTTTGCGGTGCACTCTATATTTTGCAGCTAAAAATGTTGTTCTTGAGGTGTATAATGTTACATTTTTGTAGCCCCTACTTGGCCGGCATGCTCATGTGAGTCATTTTTGCATTTTTTATTTCTGTAAATTTTTGGGAATGCTGCTGTTGTGGATGAAGATTCTTTTGAAACAAAGGGAAAAAAAACATTTTTAAAAGTACCCTGGACATGTGTGGATGAGGCCTAAAAGAGCATAACTGTCCACACTCTCTCTTTGTTGGCCAGCATCTCTGAGCATGATGCTAGCTAATAAAGGCATGTTAGCTGACATAACGCTGCTAGCGTTCTCCTGTGCAATGACGTTGCATTAACAGCTGTTTGAAGAGACGTGGCGGCTGGCTTGGAGGGCACACATGCTAACCTCTATGCTAGAAGCTTGTTAGCATCATGTGATAAGGGGAAGAACTAGCTAGAGGGTGGAAACTGACCATAACTAAAAAGTATTTTATAATTTGACCATGCTACAGTGTTAAATAACTTCCTGCCACACCTATTGATGAATGGTTGAAGGTGATGAGCCAAAGTTTGCCATGAATTGAGAGTGAGTTCCATGTACCTTGTCAGGAATTTTGAGGCTGCGACGATAGTATCGTCAAATCGTCCAAAACTAGTAATGGATGGACGAATGGTTCTCATATGAGAGACAGAGATAGAGAAAGAGAAGACAATAAAACAGCAGAGAGTGGGAAAAAAAACAGCAGCGGAAGATTGAATCCCTTTTCATCACAGTGTCCTTCAATTCCTCTCGAGACTCTATCACTGAACTCAAAATCCCATTTGAATATAAATGAGAGTCATTTAAAGACTTGAATCAGAAACCGAGACAAGGCTTGAACTCCTAATCCCACATGAATCCAACAAGGCCAAGGATGAAGTTAAAAAAAAACAAAACAAACAAACCAAAACAAAAAAAAGAAAGAGAAGCACTTACACCAAATAAAGCAGAAGAGTTATCTGGCACTGGAACTACAACAGCGAAGATCATTGGAGCCACTAATCAAAACAGGTGGGTGGGTGAAGAAAGAGGAGAGAACATGATCAGAATGAGCAGAGCGGAGAAAAAGATGAATCTGAGATGGAAATTGCAATTCGTTGTTGGGTCACGCCACATCTGTGCACTACAGTAGACAACAGATGGGTTTCGGCTAAAAGCTACAGTCTGGGAATTTTAATTGCTTGGTTCAAAATCCCCAAGCGGCACAAAACCACGTTTTTCGGAGACACAATGCTTCTGGTTTAAATTCACATGCAGCATGTTACAGGTAAATAATACCTAATTTAAGTCTGAGCAACAAAAGAGCCACCGAGCTGATACTTACACGTATGAAGCGGCGGCCATGTTGGATGTTTGCAGCAAAAGCAACCACAGTACAAATCAGTTACAACACTCACAGATTCTCCGCTGGCTCTTTTTAGACAGCTTCAAAATGCATTCATGATAAAATTATACATTCATTACTACTTATTCATCAGTAACTTTATGACAGTAGCTGAGTAGCTTAGCGCTAGCAGTACGAACATTCTTTAAGGCCTAGTTAACTCAGAGTCCATTACAGCACTTGAGGCCTGCTACATAACACTGACGTAACAGGTTACGTCCGGGGTGGAAATGGGCCGGACCCTCGTTCCTGGAGTAAAAGTTGAGACAGGATGGTGTTCCGGCTCAGATCTTGAAAATCTTGGTAACCAGTTTCATAGAAAAGTTGTTTTACTCTGTTCTAAAGTTTGAAGTGCACTTCAAATTCAACCAACAGCCCATTCAGCCAATGGAAAGTCACAGCCTTTGTAAGCTAAAGTTAAGCTTCCCAGAACAAACAGTCAAAGCTTCATTTTTTTCTCTTTCAGCGGTGTTAATATGGGCAAAAACACTCTTCTGTGGCTAGTAGCATACATGCTAATGCGTTAGCTTATAGCTATTATCACCTATGTTGAACTCTCTACAAAGTAGTCTTTTTAAAAATAGCAAACAACACATTAAAATACCATCCCAGTTAACATTCAGGTGCTTTTATATAATATAGTGCTTGGTGAAATTATCCTCAACTGGAAGAGTAAAAGAATTCTTAACTGTCTTTGGTTTTAGCTGCAAATGTTAGCAAAGACAGAGAATCCCTCAGTGGGATTAATACGACTGCTGTTGAAAGGTGGAAAATGGTAAAAATGTAAGTAAAATCCATTACATACTTGGGCACATTTGACATTATAGGTTCAAATATAACAGGGTTTTATCATTTTACCAGTGTTTTATCTGTCATGTTTGAATTTGACTAGCTTAATTAACGTCAGTTTTCACAAGCATCTTGTAATCAGGCCATTATGTTGTAGCTCTACTCTGAACATGTACTCACTTGGGTCCGGGGCGACACATTCACACTTGTAGGCAGTGACGTAGTCGGGATTGAACTCAGTGTTAATGGGGTAATACTTGAAGGACCCCACCATCTTCTTGATGGCATCAGAGATGAAGATGAAGGAGATCAGGCTGGAGAAGCCCTCTTCAGTGAAACGCGTCATGTACTTGATGATGTAGCTGGCGTCAGTGGCCACAAGAAAGAAGCACTGCACACAGGCGTGCATGCCAATCCACAGCCGGAGCTCCATATAGTCAATGCTGTTGCTCCTGACACAGAAAAGAGAGTCTGGTTTGGGTTTGTGGGCACATGTATGCATAGTTGTTCAGAGAACCAGAGACAGTAACACCAAAACTGCTAGACAGGTAACTATTTTTCATAACACACTTCGATCTAAAGTGTGCAGCTGATGGAAATTTGCTAAGTGGCTAACAGTAATGTAAGCAGGTTAGCTAGATAATGTAGCAGGTAGCCAGCATCGACCACCTGAGATACCTTAGCAACCCCCTGAAATACTACAGTAATTGCTTAGCAACAACCTCGCAACAAACTAGAGTACCATAGAAACCACCTATTAACATCCTTACAGTCACCACAAAAAATACCATAACAACTACCTGGAACACTATAGCAACCAACTAACAGTTTCCTAACAACCAGGAAATGTTCTTTTCTACTTAATTATATTATTATTTACCAAATGGAATTGCATTTACAGTCGACTTGTATTCAATGTTGTCAACTTTTTCAGTTGGTTTCAAAGTCAGAAACAACAAAAAACAAGAGAAAAACATCTAAAAAAAAATCTAAAGGTTAAATAAGGCCCATCAGAAAACTTTCCTAAATATTAAGATGACTGATGAGCTATGAGCTATGATATAGAGCAGCTGTTTTATCATACTATTATTATAGCCTAATCATATTAGTACTGCTAATGACATTGTTTTAGATGTTAATCACCTAAAAACTTTGTTTTCCAACATTATATGAAAATTAAGGCCTGAACTGAACCAAGGACTAGACAGTGAATACAGACACATTCAAAATAAACACTGTAACAAAGGAGAATTCTGGCCGAAAACTACAGTTGACTATGTTTTGTTGTGTTACGCAGTATTCTGTACCCTTTAGCTTTATCAGTTTGACAGAATTGATAATTTTAGATCATTTTCATACTTACATTCATCAGTTTTCTCTCACTACAACATCCAGCGTCCATTACGCAAATGCATCACGGTACCCCTGTGGTGTCAACCAATTCTGACTAGCCTAGCCACTGATCTACAGGCTAATAAATACAACCAAGCTAGCATTAGCGTAACTTTTACCTCAGTTTTTGATCAAAATGGGAAAGAAAACATCCATTCAATCTTTATTCAGCACAAAATGGACGCCAGAGATCATTACGGAAACATTCTAGCCAAAGAAAAGAAGCCAAACTGAGGTAACATATCTAGAAAGCCTAGCACATTGCTAAACTTAGCATTTAGCATGTTGTATTCCTCATCTGAGCCATTTATTTTGTTTGACTAATCCATTCTCTCCATTGTAATGGTGATTTGAAGACAGCTCCCACAGTTATACAGCTGCAATAAGACATTCAGCTCCCTAGCAGTAATTTTAGCCATCTGACTTCCTTTGCGTTTGTCACCTAAGAAAAAAACACCCAAAAGTAGTGGTCTTTCCTCCCACCTTCAATATACTTTAACAGAAGGGGGGGTTACCTCTCAAAATCAGAGAAAATCAGAGACTACAGCACTGTAGGATGCAAGTAGACATTTACATCAGCTATAGCTTCATGTTAATGTTATTCCAATGGCAGTTTTTCCTTTATGTTGATTATGTTGATTATGAAACTTGGAGAAATTTGGAAAACATCAGACAAGTCTGGCTCACTGCTATGGCATCCAAAGCACGTCGTCAGCTTGTGAATGGATTGGCAAAAAGATTGTTCTTTCAAGCAAGTAGCAGTGTCCCGAATCAGGAGTCAAATTAGTCAGGGCTGAAAAAGCCAACGAGGAGAGACTGATGAAACTGACTGATCTATACTTCGGCATGTTTGATAGCCACCTATGAAGTGATTACAAAGGCCTCCTCACTTGCTGAATTCGTAGAGCAGCTTCTCAAAGATGAGGATGGGCCCCGTGGAGCTGAGGATGATGAGAGGCTGACCCCCAAACAGGCAGAAGACCGTCCCTGCCAGGGCCGTACCTAGGAAACTCTCCATCACCCCCTAATGGAGAGAAACAGAGAGAGATGTGGAATCATTGATTTTAGGTCAGAACACTTATTACGAGGCAGTCAATAAAATATATGCTCAGAAGAAAAACTACGGCTGCCTCTGGACCTGTAAACAAAAGAAAAAACAAACCACTAACATCCAATCAGGACAACAAGGCACTTCTTTGTGTCCGTCAGATATTTTATATGGCCAAAAGTATGTGGACACCTCACCATAACACTTGTATTAGCTTGTTGGACGTCCTGTTCCATTCTGCAACGTTAACATTACCCTTCAGTAGAACTGAAAAACAGCACCAGCTCATTATACCTCTTCCATTAAAACGTACTGTTCCAGCAGGTAGCATTATCATCCACCAAACCCACATTGGTCTATCAACCTGCCAAGAAGCGAAGCGTGATTCATCACTCTACAGAACATGTTTTCACTATGATAGAGTCCAATGGCAGCGCACTTTACACCCCTCCAGCCGACGCTTGGCATTGTGCATTGTGATCTTAGGCTTGTGTGCTGCTGCTCAGCCACTGAAACCCATTTCATGAAGCTCCTTACATGCAGTTCTTGTGCTGATGTCGCTTCCAGAGGTAGTTTGGAACTCTGTAGTGAGTGATGCAACAGATTTATATGTGCTTTGCCTTTCAGCACTCGACAGCCTTGCTCTGAGTTTGCATGGACATACCACAATCTTGGCTGTTGTTGCTCCTGTTGCTTCCAGTTTTATAGTAATAGTGCTTACAGTTGCACCTGTTTTTACTTCAACATTAAGTCATTTTTGTTGAGCTATGGGGAAAATGTATTATTTGATTATATTAATTAAAAACAATGTAATAATACTCAATTTCCAGTGTCCACTAGAGGGACTGCAGGAAGAAGCAATGTCAATGTATCCAAGAAACACTTTAACACATTTAGATCCAAGGTTGGGAATACAGACTCAGAGATTTCAAACTTCTGAGTACAATGGAAACCATATAATCACCAACAAACTGTGTGACATCTGGTTAGTAAGACTGGCACAATAGCCAGTTTTGAAAAGTCATAGTTTTTTCATTATTTATTAAAATGTAAAACTAAAATTTGTAGGAAAAAATGTCGTATTTAACCCAGTAGCTCTAAAATGCAATTTTAGCTTGTTGTATATTTACAATGGTAAAAGGCCATAGAAATTAAATTAAATTAAAGAAATAAAAACAACAAACCATGTAGATCACTGTAACTCTGGAATGCTGTTTGTGAAAGCAATGATATTAACTGAATAAAGGGCTCCAAAGTCTAAGCATTGGCTCAGTGAGCCTTCTAACTGGCGAGTTAAATGCAGGTAGGGCTCGTGGCTGAGACCTTGGTCCAACCTGTCCCTTTCCTTGCTGTGGTTTTCTCTCTTAGCTCCATTGGCTTCATTTCCCTGCTGATGAGACAGTCTAGGAGGTTGAGAGTCTGCAAGATTTATATCATCATTAGCAGGCACAGTCAACCAGGCCGCTTGCTCATGATAAGGACTCATGGCAGATAGGGCTTGTTTCTGAGACTCCTTAGACAGGCCTGTATCCCGGCTCATGACCTCAATGTTGCTTCCCCTGGCAGTGGTGCTGGCCTCGTCTGCCTTGCAGTGAGATAATCTATGAGAGGTCAGTGTTCCTCCAGAGAGTCTGACCTCGAGTGGATCCACTCCATTGATCTAAGAACTAAAGTGAAAATCTCTGTCCTCACTGCTTTGATGTTAAGGGGCTCCCATTAAGGACCCTATAGACCCTTCAAGTCCATATCTGCAGTTTGAAATTTCCTCCCGGTCATATATTCTGTGAGTTTGTGAGAGAGATTTTATCATTTAATGGACACACACTACTGATTTTATACAAAACAATTGAAAAACAATTTGATTATGAATAAAAAATAAATGTATTTTTAAAATGTATTAGGTAATGTTAAATTCAAGATGTAACCATAGGAACTACCATCACTTTACATCAATCAAAACAAGTTCTTTAGCATTTTCGTAGCATGCTGAGTTAAACTGTTGGGTCAATAGTCCTCATATAGGACAAATGGCATCATTACATAGGTCCATTGCGCCTGGACGTGCTTGGATGAGAGATTAACTACAATCATATTCAGGTATGCTCCTTGATTCAATGAGTGGTGAACTGTAATTATCAAAGCTAGGCCTTCAGTTTGGGCCAAAAAGGTCAAAAACTAAGAAAAAAACCCAAAATAACGCTAATTTCTGCTAGCACCCCTATGGGATTTATACTAGTATGTTAGCACTAAACTAACAATGGTGCACATAAACATTTTTTGGCCATTCTAGATTATACATGGACATTTAAAGCTTGCAAAAGAAATAGCATATTTTACCTTGTATGTAGCACTTTTACAGTTTCAGTGAAGATCTTTGGCACTGAGCTGTTTTCATTGCCAACAACTAACCGAAACTTGGCTACGGCTCATATTCACAGTGACATATCTAGAACTTCCAGAAGATTTAGAGTGACCTTTTTCTTACTAAACTGTCTCCGGGAAATCAAAACATTACTGGTACATTCCACTGCCAATTACTAAAGTCCTTAACCAATGGGAGAGCTCGTTTTGCAGGATGTAACAAGGTATCAGGGGGAAAACAATCCTGATTAGATAATGAAACTTAACAATGAAAAAAGAGTATTACCAAAATATTTACAGTTTGAAAATAACAAGCATTATGATTCTTTTAAATAAAAATTAACTAAAAACTACAGATGTGTATTTTAGTTCCAAGAAGGTCCTGAGGGTTCTCTGCCAGACAGAGTAGATATCTGATGCATCAATGTGTAAAATATGTGCATGTTAATGAACGATCAAGGTAGAATCGACCAATGAGGCAAGTCGCATATACAGCAAGAGAGAATGAAAAACAATAAAGGAAAGAAAAATAAAGATCAACATAAAAAAGGGAGCCTGCACTTTGAAAGTATGACTTCAGTAAAGGCCACATTCAAATTTAAACGAAATGTCATGCTCATGGCTTCCTGGCGGAAGGTTCCAGCGTGTACCTGGTAGTTGTCTGTGGCGTCCCCCAGGAGACCCCCGAAGGTGATCGCATTGGTGATGCAGCCCAGGTAGATGAAGAGCACGGCCGAGATGGACTGGATGTGGAAGCCCTCATAAAAGTCACTAGGGTACCAGGGCAGTTTCCTCTTGATGTCCAGAAACAGGCCTCCACAAAACCTGCAGCACACACACCCACACAGGCTTAGCTTAATACATTATTAAAGACAGGCCTGTCCTTTGCACAGCTCCCATTAAAAAGTCAAGTAAAAAGTGACAAAGTGTGTGTGAGACACAGAGAGGCTTAGACGAGAGGCTGCTGGCCCTTCAAACTGTTTGGTTTATTGGCAGAACATTCAGGACCGTCAGCTCATCATACCCAAAGACTGTAATGCATTTCTTTTCATCACCTTATTTATCATCATGAAATTTAATAAACCTGCTTTCTCTAGATGCTTTGGAAACCTAGCCAGCTGGTTCAAACCCTCTAACTAACTCCAAAACTGCCAGGTACAGCATTTTCAGCAACTTCAGCAACCCAAAAGGCTGTCCAGCCTCTGAAACAGTGATGTAGTCTAGAGGAAAGTTGTGGGTACAGTGTGATTAGCTGTTAACAAGTCTAGCCATAACTAAAATATTCAATGAGTTTAGCAACCAGAAAGGCCCTCCCAACCAGTAAAGTGCTCTAAAGTAGTGAGAATACTGTAATTAGCTGTTAGCAAGACTAGCCTAGCCAGAATATAGCTAGTCTCGTAGGGTCAGATCTTGTATGCCTGGGGACAGCTTGTTAAGCAATTTGTGCTGGATTGTTGCAAAATCTGCCAAAAACAAAAGTACATCCCCTCTAAAAAGCCAACCCCCCCTGTTCCTCTAGTCTGTACTCTTTTAACACCACTCAACATTTGTTGTTTGTTGTTATTGTATCTGTTTTTGTGGGCCCCAAGGAGGAATAACGTTTATAGAAGCACCAGCTAATTGGGTACTTAATAAAGAAAGCACACAACAGAACAAGCTGTCTAGCAAAACACTGTTATAAGCTAATGGAACTTCTCTTGGAAAAGCTAATGTTTGCTGTTAATGCCTGTTGTCCGTTGGAAGGTGTTGACAAGCACACTATTGTTCCCTGAGCTCCACTTTCACAAGATGTTGGATTACACTCAGTTTGTTACCACCCTAATAGTCCCATCCCAAAATTTCTTATGGTTGTCCCCAGAAGTTTTTATTATTAGCTCATGTCTGGCCCTTTGAGACTTGTACGTAGCAAACTGACTAAAATATTCATCAACTTTAGCAACCCCAACAGGCCATCCAACCTCTGAACCAGGGTTGCAGTCCTGAGTAAAGTAGTTACTATGCAGTGCTTAGCTGTTAGCAACACTAGCCTAGTCAACACATCAGCAACTCCAGCAACTTGAAAGACACTCCAGCCTCCGAACCTATGCAGTCTAGAGTAAAGTAGTAGGTATACTGAGATAAGCTGTTATCAAGACTAGCTTTGCTTAGCATATAGCAACGAAACTAAAACATTTAGCCAGTTAACTCTCACCCACTAATGCTGTATTTATGTGGTAGCATATAGCTAAATACATTTTCAACTGGAAAGACCCACCAGCCTCTGAACTGGTGATATCATCTCGAGTAAAGAATACTGTGGTGTTACCAAAAATTTACTAAAATATTCAACTTCAGCAACCTGAAAGGCCCTTCAGTCACTGACTCAGTGATGTAGCCCAGAGTAAAGAACTGTGTTTAGCTCATAGCAAGGCTAGCCTAGCCAACACATAGCAACATAACTAAAATGTTCCTCAGCTTCAGAAATCTGAAAGACATCCCAGCCTCTGAACCAGTGATGCAGTCTAGAGTAAAGTAGCGAGTTGCTGTTAGCAAGACTAGCCTTGCTTAGCATATAGCAACGAAACTAAAACATTTAGCCAGTGAACTCTCACCCACTAATGCTGTATTAATGTGGTAATTTCACTCTGGATATCATTCCGAATGTTTTTCACTTACTGTTTCTCTAACATTAAGTCGTTTTGCTACTTTTTCTTTCAATTTAAACATAACATTTTTCCCGAATTTTGGCAGGGCTGGCTAGACCCCCATCACAATGCTGCCAAGCTGAGTGAAGGCTAACACGAGCTTCCTCCCAGAAACATGAAGCACCACCGCATCTTTTCAAACTGCTGCAAGCACAGTGTGATTGGACAGTCCAACACGCATGAGGACAACATTAACTGCCAATTACTGTCCCAATGGTAGGCACAGCTAACTATGTATTATAGTCCATTTGTTAGTGGGTTTCTGCAAATCCCTGAGGTTTCCCTTGTGTACATATAGTATATTTGTGTATTACATAGACTACATCTCTGCTTAGTTATCCTGATAATCAAGTGGAATTAAGCAAATAAGGCACCAGAAGAACTTGCCTGCCAGTGTAGGCCAGCTCTTCTCCGAGCTCATGGGGCACAGGCATCTCCTCGTCCTCGCTCACACCGCCCCCTCCGCCCACCGAGCCATTCATCTGACCCAGCTCGTTCAGAGAGAATACTGACTTCCTGTTTTAGTGAAACAGAAATGTGATGGATATTGAGTTTAGCAGCAAAACCTTGCATTAGTGAAGGTTAAATGGTGCAGTAAATGGATAATCGCAAACTACAGGCATCAGTGCCTTTGGATTATGGGTTAGAGCAACCCAGTGACAAACAGCGATTCATACTGCCTTCATGTATTGTCAGATGGTCTTTGCAAAGTTGTAATTACAAACTTTTTATAGTTGGAAACATGTTTAGCTCGTTCGCTAGACTGATCTATTTTGGTATCTTCCTAACTTCTTCCTCCTAACTTACTCAACCAACCGTTAAGCAAATAACCTAATCAGTGACTGAGTTACATTTCATTGTTGTCGTAACAAACCTTTTATCTTGAAATGTTAAAAAAGTAAAAATCTGTTCTTAGCATTTACCCCTCGTCGCTCACTAGCAGCTCAATGTAGATTCATAGCATTTCACATACTTAGAGCTGACATTGTCTCAGTTAATCTTATTACAGATTTATGAGGAGAATTTAACACTATTGGGTATGTTAATGAAACATATGAGTTGATTTATGCCTGCGGTACAGCCACTAGTGGCCTGCAGAAAGAGGCTACATAAGGTTTTGATTTGACAGCGACAATTCAGAAAACTAAATAATGACCTTCCATCAACCACTGATGTGTAAAGGTCAGTAACAAGGCGTAAACTTGGGCAGCAGAATTTTTCCTGCTTGAAATTACAACTTCAAGTTGAACCTTTTGGGTCGAGAACTCTTTCTGGCAATTTCCACCGCGGGCTTATTTTTCTAAAGGTTCAAGCCTCAGAAAAACAACACATGTAGATACCAATTTTATTAGTGGCACCAAAAATGCTAAACAAATTCTTGGGTTTACCTCTTGTCTGCAGAGAGCACTTTCTTGGGGGGCTCAATGCGAATTTTGGGATCCCATTCACCAGGCGGAAGTACGATCACCTCGTCCAGGAACTCATCGATGCCTGCAATCAGGTCTTCACGGTCCCTGGCCTTGTACGCCACATCACTAAACAACTGGAGATGAAACTTAGTCTTAAAGCTCCAAACAGAATAAGGAACAAACAAACCCAACAAGGCACTAGCTTCAAGTTTGCTTTGGAGAGATTCTCTGTGCTAGATTTATGTAGCATGTTTGCAAGTTGAAGGCCTCGGCTTTTAGCTACCAAAATCTGACTAGCTGCGATTCCTGTCTGGGACAGATATTTTTATATTTTACATTATATTTTAATTTTATTGTTCTGTAGATTCTTAAATAACTTGGATGTAGGTGTGTCCCAGTCCAATCCAATAGATCAGAATCATTAGTGGGATCAGATTGAGCTGACAAAAAACTGGATAACAAACAAGGTAAGTATGCTCTAGCAACTCATCTTCTGGTAAAGCTGAAAGGTCCATGTTGAGATCCTTGAGTTAGTTGGTTGTATTGAGATCTATCCACTTTCTTTTTCTGTTAAGCCTATTTTTAAACTGTACATTGATGCATTCTGAAACATACTTACATCATCCACCATAAGCGTTGCAATGGCACGGCCAATCTCGTTGTAGGACTTGGCTTTGCCAAGGGGGCCCAAAAGCACAAATAAGAATCTGTCATACGAAAAGTCAATATAAACACAAGCTGGCATTAGTTAGGTTACACCTTAAACATTCAAGATCTCCACTTCATTTTACATTTCCAATGTAAGTTAAATTGAAGTTCCTAAATAACTGCTTACATTTGCTTTACCGTTTGTCTGCATCATTGAAAGGGAGGAAACCCTTGCAAACGCACAAATGCGTTTGCAAGGGCATAAAGATAAAGATATCCAAAGATAGGACAGCAGGGGGAGCTTCAGCTTCATTATAAAAAGGCCTGTTAAGTTTTTTTCAGTGAGATGTCAAATTATTACTGGCTGTTACATCTGAAATTACAGCCCCAAACTAAACAACCTTTGGACATTTTGTACTTTGCCAGGCCCTTTGTATTCATCTATATTGTTCAAATTACCTGATGGACTACAACCACCATAAACACTAGAAACATAACCTTTGTCGCAATTTGCACAACTACACTTGACAAGGTTGGGCAAAGGGAAAAACTGAACCTGTACAGAAAAATAAACCAATACAGTGGTCTCAAAAGGTCCATTTTGATGCAGAAGGTGTTTGGACCCATGTTACAAGGCAGGATTCTAACAGACTGAGAAAAACTGAATGGTAATACTGTAAATCTTTTTCCGTGCCAAGGAGAGAGCCAGGACACTGAGACCTTATCCGAGAGTGCACTGTCCATCAGTCTGCAGTAGCCTAGTCTGACAATAGTGTTCGCACAGAGAATTTTATACTGTCTATTTCTTCTGCAGCTATTGCTATATCTATGATGTCATGACAATAGACATTCTGTGGTAAACACATGCAAGTTGCTGTTTGTGCACATACTAAGGACAGTGAACATTCTGTTGTAAACATATATAAGCATCTGTTTGTGAGGTCAGTATGGACACTAGACATTCTGTTGTAAGTCAAGAAACATCTATAATCAATATCTGAGTTTGACATCTGCTAGACCTGTGATCAGTCATTAAGGAGCTCTACAATTTTAAATAAAATAGAAAGGCAAAAACCAAAACTAAATGAAGAAAATAAAATAAACACAGTAATGAGTGATAATAGTGCACCTGGTGGGCACTGGAACCTCAGTCAAGCCTCCCAGTGTGGTGGCCTGGGCCAGGCGAACGAAGGCCACAAAGGGTTTGTCCAGGAAGTCCACCTCCCCCACCAGCACGTTGGATGCCTCGGCATCTCTCGGGATCTTCTTCATAAACTTGTTCTTCAGCTGCAGTCACAGTGGGCGAAAGAAAAAATGGGGGGGGGGGCTTATTTATAAAGTGTACTTGCATTTCATACTGAATCAGTTCTTAATAGAAGTTCTCAGAATTTGTGTGCAAATGGTTTATAAAATTCGAGTGTACACTTAAATAAATGCATGCAAATGATTTGAAGTATGACTGATCATTTATAAATCAAAAACGGTCGTAGAAGTGAGTGCATGCAAACCAGTTTTCCAACTCCATCCATGATTGAACTGATTTGCATATGAATGTTTCCAGCAATAAATGCTCGAAAGGAAAGAAAAGATTATTGCATGCTCTATTTTACGGACTTGGTGCTCACTGGTTTAAAATGTTACAAAGAAAAAAGATATATCAGTGTAAATTGAGTTTTATTTGACTTATTGGAATTTTGCATGATATGCAATGGAAAAATTATACTTATTATACACTGTATGGCCAAAAGGATATGGACACCTGACCATCACACTTACCTAAGCTTTTTGGACATCCCACTCTAAAACCATGGGCATTAATATGGAGTTGGTCTCCTTTTGCAGCTATAACAGATAGGAAATGGTCTTCCCTGAAATGTTGCCACAAGGGTTGGAAGTATATAACTGTCTAAAATGTCCTTGTATGTTGTAGCATTAACATTAACCTTCACTGGAACTAAGCAACCCAAGCCCTGAAAAACAGTGCCAGTCCCATTATCCCTCCTCAACCAAACTTTACTGTTGGCACTATGCATCTCAGTAGGTAATGCTCTCCTGGCATCTTCCAAACTCAGATTCGTCCATCAGACTGCCAGATAGTCCAGTGGCGGCAGTGCCTTACACCACTCCAGCCAACACTTGGCACTGCACATAGTGATCTTAGGCTTGTATACAGATACTCAACCCGTCTCATGAAGCTCCCAATGCACTATTTCTGTGCTGATGTCACTTCCAGAGGCAGTTTGGAACTCTGTACTGAGTGATGAAACAGAAGGAGGGGTGTCCACATAGTTTTGCCAAATATAGCGTATCTAAGAGAATCACATGTTGACGGAACGAACTCTCTCTGCATACTGGCAGGCATGGTGGAAGGGCACATTGGGCTTCTCATACAGCTGTGTGCTTCGGTCTCAGTTTAGTTTATATTCTTTGAATGAATGTAAGCTTTTGATTCTGACTTCATTTTAAACTTACAGGGATCCAACAAGAATATAGACCTACATCAGTGGAAGAAAAGTCCAGTTTACCACAGTAGAAAAGCAAAATTACATCAGTAATATGTTAACATCACTGACATGTTTGTCGTGAGTCTTGATAGTTCGTCGTGATAGTTCACTGTTCACCTTTTTTAGTTGGTATCTTATGGTAAGATGTGTTAACTGTCAGACATTAGTGACTTTTAAATGAATACATGGGTGGTTTTAATGATGTAGGCTAGATTTCTTATGAGGTAGGGGATTCATTTTGCCCCCATGTCTAACTGGTCCTGTCTCAGGGGCTGACTGCCAAAACTCATATGTCAGGTTGGAAACATACATCAATTTAGACACTTTTTGAAATCAAAATTATGCTTTATTAACAACTACTTTAACATGAATTTTCACATATGAGCATTTTGGGATTCAGTCTTTGATTAATGAGGCCTTTTGAACTTCCTCGAGGGACGCTATTATAAATTATGAGTCATGTCGTAAGTAACACAAATGGCCATTAGCAAGGAGCCATACTCTTTATCAGAGCTCTCTATGACTATTGTGATACTTTCTCAGATGCTTATTAGAGTTATAGAAAAGTATTCCACCTACGGCCGAGACTGGCAGTAGTTTTTTAGAACACAAGCTCTAATTTGTTCTTTTGTTAGAGTCGTAGATGTGAAGTCCATGCCCATTTACTCCCACCTACTGAAAATATGTCTTATAACCACTTCTAATTATAGAGCATCCAATTACATTGTATCCATGTGCTCGTGTGCACTGTACAAAAAAAAGGGTCGACTTAGCTCGTCATTGTAATAAGCTCAGTGAAGCTGAATCAAAAGTACACTTAAGGCGATTATTCCATTCTAAAGTTTTAGAAGGTAAATGGATTTTGCTTCAAGTCTTGGAGTTTAGTAAGATCAGCAGGAGCAAAGCAAACCCAGTTCCACAAGAAACTTCTGCTGTAACATGTCAATAGAATATCAATTGACTTGGCCTGATCGTTTTCCTCCTTCTTATCACTTTCTGCAAGTCAGAATATGAAACATAATAGTGTGCCCATATTAAAAAGCACCAACTTCAAAAATGTTGAGATCTAAAGATGCCCAAAACTTGATGGTGACACTGAAATTCAAGTGTCCAATCTGGAAGCCTCAGCCGACGAACAAAATACAAACAAAACAGTCACAGATAACAACTAGAATAGTGCATTTCCTGTAGATTGTGATTGTGCAGCTGAAGCTTTTTGCCGGGAGGCTGCTATGGTATGAGGGGTTGCCAAGTGGTCGTTGTTGTTAAAAATGAATGGGAGTCTATGGGAGGAACAAGGGATGAAAAAAACAAGACATAGAGGAGTGCGGGTCTGTATGGCTGTGGTTAAGAGCTTGAGGATCTTCCCTTAGTGAGTTCATGTAGTTTGGTGGCTGTCAGGCAAAAGAAAGATTAGGGCTTGGGTTGGTGCCAAGATGAATAGGAGTCTATGGGAGGAATGAAGGATGAAGAAACAACACATAGATGGGTGTGGGTCAGTATTGCTTTACATTAGAGTTTGAGGTCCTGCCCTGAGTGAGTACATGCAGTTTGGTGCCTGTGGGGTGAAAAAATAATAGTGTTTGTGTCAGGGCGAAAATGAATGGGGGTCTATGGGAGAAACGAGAGATGGGGAAAAAATGACAAACAGATGAGTGCAGGTCCAAAAAACACTGAATTTGTGCTCGGGGGCCTGCCCTAAGATAGTGTACGCAAAACGCTGCCTTTTGGTCAAGCAGAAGTACAGTAGATTGTCCTGTAATTTTTGACCCCATTCATTTCTATGGGAGAAAATCGTAATTTAATAAAGATTGTATGAAAACTGTGCATCATATTCAAAAGCTGTATATAAGCACAGCATTCCCAATCAGACTGAACATTCCGGAGTTGGAACGTTGTCGGGTTGGTGACCACTGCCATAGAAGAACCATTTTTGGTTGTCTAAAACCCTTTAAAACCGTTTTTGTAAATGAGAACCTTTTAAGAAGTTTAAAGAACCTCCTCATAGTCGAAGAACAACCTTAAAGTGGTTTACATTATGTGAAGGTTCTACATAACTTCCTAAAGATTCTTCACACCAACACATCTCATTTATAAACATGGTTCTTTATAGAACTAACATGGTTCTTCTGTTGCACTGCCTAAAGAATCCATTAGTGTCACAGAAAAGTTCATTCCTAAAGAACCTTCCATTGAAAGAACCATTTTTGTAATTGAGATGTGTAAAGTATCTCCACCCAGAAAGAACCATTAAAGTATTAAACAAGCTTTATGTGATGTGAAGGTTCTTCACACTGACATATCTCATTTACAAAAATGGTTCTTTAAGGTACTAAAGTGGTTCTTCTATGGTACTCAAAGAACCCTTTGTGGCAGTGTAGCAGAAAGTATTCTTTGCATGATGCCATAAAAGAACCAATTCTGATTTGCTACAGAACCTTTCAATGGAAGGTTCATTAGAAAACCGCTTTTGTAAATAAGAACCTCCATGTCATGTAAATGTTCTAGGAAGAATCTTTTAAGTTGTATACATTATGTGAGGATTCTTTATAACTTTAAAAGGTTCTTCACATTCAAATACCTCATTTGCAAAAAGGGCTCTTTCAGGAACTACAGTGGTTCTTTGAAGGCATCGCTCAAAGAACCCTTTTGTGATACTTGTTTTTTAAGTATAGCAGTAGGTCTTCTTTGAGTGATACAATTCAGAGAACTTTTCAATGTAAGGTTTTTAAGTGAATCTTTTTTGTAATTGAGATGTGTGAGTGTGAGGAACGTTTTAAAGAAGTAAAGAACCTTGACATAATGTAAACTTTCTAAGAAGAACTCTTGAATTGGTAAAGAACATCATGGCAAAGTTCTTTTTACTTTAAAAGGTTTTTCACATCCATATATGTCATTTACAAACATGGTTCTTACAGGTACTGAAGTGGTTCTTCTACATTCTTATAAAAGATGATTCTTCAAGGGTTCTTTAGTGAAGACATTGGTTCTCTATAGAACCATGAAGGGTTCTTTGCATCATAAAAGGGTTCTTCAGACTGATGGAAAATGTGCTGTAGATGGTTCTATATAGAACCTTTTTGAAAAGGGTTCTATATAGCACCCAAAAGAGTTCTTCTATTGTTACAATGTCAAGCTCATAACAATAGAGGAACCCTTTTGGGTGCTATATAGAACCCTGTTCAAAAAGGTTCTATGTAGAACCATCTATAGCACATTTGTACACATTTTCCATCAATCTGAAGAACACTTGATGTTCTTCAATCATGCAAAGTGTTCTTTGAGTGGTCATGGTTCTATATAGAACCATGTTCTTTACTAAAGAACCAGTGAGGCACCACCTTTTTAAGAGTGTCTACTATCTCTCAAGAGCCCTTTGTAGCACTTTTTAAAGAATGTTTCTTTGTATGATGTCATAGAAGAACCGACTTTAGTTCCCTAAAGAACCTTTCAGTGGTACGTTCTTTTTGTAAATGAGTTGCACAAGCATGAAGACTCGGGAACCTCCTCATAATGTAAAGGTTCTAAGAAGAGCCCTGAACATTATGTGAAAGTCCTTCATACCTTTAAAAGCTTCTTCCATTTTCATTATGGCATCTTTATATTTTAAGAGTGCAGCTTTATGATGGTAAAATGTGTAGGGGAACATGGGGTTGGTTGTCATGGTGCTGTTATCTTGTACACCAGGGGGAAGGCGTCTAGAACGGCACACGTTCTCACAATAACTGAAACTATAAGAGATTTAAACTGACGTGAGTTATTAATGAGTCAGTTTGCATTGCT